ATTAAGCATTTTGGGGCTTAATCTAGGAGTGGAATTTATATTATGAGTTCTAATTATAATAAACGTATATGTGGTGTCATTGTTAACACTCCCACGGGCAACATGTGGGCTTGCAGCTAACTTAGCGTTAGCTTTTCGAGGAAACTTTGATCGAGCTAAAACGGTCAATAGCTGTTAGGCCGTGTAAGCTGCTAGCGGTTAGCTGCTAGCGGTTAGATGCTAGCGTTAGCTGTAGCCCTGCTAAAGCGGTTAGCGTTACTGTTAGCTGTTAGCTGTTAGCGGGAGAAACAGGCTTAACATGGATTTAGCCTGCTAGCTAACTAGCCAAGTGGAGTAAGCTATTTCTAACTCTTTCCTTGTGAAATAACGTCAATATGTCTGATTATCAGCTAACGCCGGTCAGCTCACTATTATAACTTTACATGAGGCTGTTAGTTGAAGTTGAAATGGGTAATACAGGTTGACGGTAGCTTATGCTAAGCTAGCTATGTAGTGAACGGCTAACATGGAAAATGAATGTTGGTTGACTTAGTGGAAAATGTAACACAAGACAGCGGAAGACACTTTCACCGCCCACTCGCATCTCAAATTAAATGTGTCCATAACATTTTCTATCGTTAATAACTTACAAACATGGATTCTCACTATTATCGACCCGCTGCAGTCTGTGGACGACGACCCGCAGCGATGTGAATCAGAAGGTCGAGATTTTACTGCAATAATGTGAACATAAGTCACTTTATTTATTCTTAAAGAGCGGTTGTTTAATAGATTGTTGAACTGTGTACAGGAATTATTACATGGTCGTTCATTTAGCGCATTTTTCCACGGAGCCTGGCTTAAACTATGCGTACTATGATGTCAGTTTGCTGAACTAAATTGGTGACTTCCTGTAGTTTACGAGGCCAAGTTGTTGTTGGACAACAGTTTCGGCCATGTTGTCAGTAAGTGGCCGAGTAGCGAGCCGATAGTTATATAATAGTTTATGTCGCCAAACTGTAACATGTAGCTAACATTAGCCACCGTGAGCTATCGTCACGGTAGTTTGGCTCATGACGTCAACAACGTGGCTCTGAGAGTAAGTTGGACGTCGTTAGGAGCTTGTCAGGTTGAAGTCGGTCTCTTTTATCACATCTTCCTGTGGTTAGTCGGTTCAACATTCAGTTTAAAAATGCACGTCCATCTAACTTATTTGAGCAGTTTTCGCTGGCAGCATCAGCCGGTTAATGTTAGCGAGCTGAGCAGTGTCTCTGTTATGAGTTGGCAGCTGTCCTACACATGTATAAATAGCTTGTAACTGAATCTGCTTTCCATCTACTCCCCCACTTGCTTACTACCTGCCGCACTTTTTCTTCCTGTCCCAAATCAATCTGACCATGTTGTTTGTTTGTCTGAATATATGTTTGTGCTGTTTTTCTCCCGACAGGAAATGGAAAAACGGCTAGAAGAGAAGCTAAGGATCAGCCAGAAAGAAAAGTAAGGCCTTAAAAGGTAGAAGAAACATGGCCTGAATTTGGGACTAAACCACTGCCTCAGTTTCCATTCAGAAATATACTGTTTCACTTATGTGTTGTGCTTGTAAAACTCCACACCTGAACATAACTTAAGACTTCACACAAATGATGCTGTTTCTGAGCTGATTTTCAGTTCATCATACAGGTGAACTACCAAAGAGCCAGTGTATTTCTAAGGATGCACTAAATCCATCCACTTACTTTATTTGATTAATTATTGAATTAATTCCTTCGTTTTATAAGTGAGTTGAACTGAGCGGTGGATCCTAACAATTCAGAAGTCTCGTCGTAAGACTAGGGATGCCCTGGTCTCCCTACAAGTACAAGTACAATTCTTACAGTCACTTTGAAAACATGTTTTTTTAGACACATTTACTAAGTATGTTACTCTACGGATGAGCAGGGAAAAACTGAATCAGTAATACATCTATTTGAGTCTTTTGGCCATATATATATTTATAATATATGTTGTTTGTATATCTGGAGTTTGTAACACAAATAGTATTTCTGATTCTGATTCTGAAAGCATCATCTAAGCTATTTTCAGCGCTGCCTCCCCCGCTTCGAGGTAATTGTCTCTTCCTGTCTGTCTAGTTACTAATTTTTGCGTGCACTGTGTCCCGTTGGTCCGGTTCTAGGGAGTCCAGTAATAATGATCCACGATCTCCTTTGAAGACAACCATGGTGATACAGGACGACTCTCAACCAGCAGCACCCCAACCTCAAATACGCATTTTGAAGCGGCCTACAAGTAACGGGTCACTGGGGTCACCCTTGAATCAGAACAGGCCTACACCACAGGTCAAGTCTCTGGCCCAGCGTGAGGCAGAGTACGCCGAGGCCAGGAAGAGAATACTGGGTAGCGCCTGCCCAGAGGAGACGCCTCAGGACAAGCCCAACACTGACAGGTAATTATCCACAAATATTTACAGTGTCCTCGCAGCCTAATAAGGCCTTGCTTAAGGGCCTGAGCTGTTGGTGTAATCCATGTTGTGCTGAAGTATCCAACAGAGAGAGGCAACAAATGAACAGGCATTACTTTAAAGTCTCCCCATCCACCTTGATTCAGGTCATTAACATCTTTGGTTGTTGAGTGTTTTTAAAATTTGTATAATGCAATTTTCAGAATGTTTTCACTCTATGCCAACATCTATACTGCAGTCTTAAATTAGATCAAATAAAATGGCTGTTTCTAAAACAAAGACAGACAGACAATCAGAAGAATACCTTAAGGCAATAGCCACTAAAAATGGCACTACTTCCAGCTGAATCCCAGCTGAATTGTCACACATCAGCAGGGTGTGGTAACGTTTGTTTTCATCTGATTAACTAGAGCTGGCTGAAGCACACTGCTTTGTCTTTCTTTTGGTTTGGCTGGGTTTTGATTGGCAGGGGGTGGAGCCCGACAATAATCACAGCCAAACTTGATGGACTGGTTCTTGTTTACACCTCCAAGTTAATTGACTGTTCTTCTCATTTGTGTTCAGTTGGATTTGAATGGCAGTGAATTGTGCCAGAACGAATATAAAAGCAACCAAAAAACACAGAAAAAAAGTTTCCTAAAACCAAGAGGGAACACTAACTAAAATCATGTGTGAGTACCTGTCTGTCGTGAGACTGCAGGGATCCTGTAGTTAGGACAGTTCAGGAGAAAGTTTTGGCCCAGCAGTTGGCAAGCGTGAAAGGCGGCTGTCTCTAATTTACTCCTGTCATTATTTCCTCTCTTTCTGCCAGGCCAGGGCGCAATAACTCTACATTGCCTTCAGAGGACACCCGATCAAACAATCACAGTGTCGGGCAGCCAGACGGCACCCAGGGGTTCCGACAGCACAGATAAGTGGGCCCCGGGGCCACCCAGCAACTGGGTGGGAGAGAGAGATAAAGGGCCGCCTGAGAGCAAAGACAGCAGTGTTTTCTTAAAACTTCCTTCCTTCAGTTCCATTATATCGGATGTGCCGCTCGCACAGCCGCACCGCTGCGTCCCCACTAGCAGTCGTTCAAAACTGACCAGGAGCGAGGAACTCCAGGAGGAAGTCAAATGGAAATGTGCTCTCTTTTCTCCCCACTGCAGTCTGTTTGACACTGTGATTATGGACATCTTCTGGACTCACTGTGATGATCCCTTTAAGAAACGCCCCTCACCTCCATCTCTCTCCTCCCTCAGTCCCCAGCAGCTCCGTCTCAGGACGGAAGCAAAGACTTACACAAAGGATGGCAGAGAGAGAGAGGAGGAGTAGTGACGGGCCATATCAAAATGAGATGAGCTGGTTCTTGGGCAGCAGCTTCTCCCCAGCAATAATACCAGACATCACTTCTCACACATTTACATACGTATACGTTTCTAATTTTTCAGATGTTGGCTGACAAAATGTTTATCTTTTATTTGTCTTGCTCGTCTTTAATTGTCTATACTAGGGATGCTCTGATATCGAGTACAGATAAAAGTACTTTAAATTACACATGCACCACCACGAACCGGTTCACAGTATTTAGTATTGAGAGATATTTTTAAACAAACATAATATCGGCAGTTTTTATGAAGTGGGAAACCTTTCTTTGGCAATAAAATAGTCTAAAGAAGCTACGGTTTGCTTTCTGTTAACAGTTTAAACACAGACACTTAAGGCCGCAGCTTGTGGTGTCAGATCTCCCAGTAAACTCTAATGCTGAGTACTTGACTGGTACCTGCCAGCTAGCTGAGCTGTTAGCAATATCACTGCACCCCTAATATGTAAACTGCTATTTGTTTTTAAAAATGGAGGGTAAGGCTCGTGTGTGTTGTGTATCTGACAACTTCTGTTTTTGCTATGTTTTTTGATTTAAGCTTTTCAGCTGTCTTCCTTGTCACATCATTATTTCTATTTAAAAGTAAAAGCAAAAAAAGAGACAGTGAAAAGGAGATTGTGGATTGAAGTCCATTTTTAAGTAGCTTTTCAGCCTTTTTGTATGAGATGGCAGAGCAGTATTTTAATCGAAATGAACCAAAATCCCATTTTAAAATCAACCTGTAAATATATCAGTTAATTCAGATGTCACTATGTGAGGGTGATATTAGCAGCAACTCAAAGGGAGAGGGTCAGATGGGAAATGAATTTACTGCTGTACTTCACACGCCTCTCATATATCCACCTCGTCAACGGTGTGCTCGTTTCTTCATGTCCGTCACTGGCGTACAGTGCGTAGGAACTCAGGTGCAGGTGAACGAGACTGAATGAATGAAATGAACTAAGATTGTATTTTTCCAGCGGTTGCTCGAACAGCAAATGTCCGTATTAAAGCTTGGGTTGGCACTTTGTTCGAAATAATGCTACAGATTGTGCTGTACTGTTACAGAAATGGTGTCCCAAGATGAATGAATGAATGCCAGTTTTTTCTTTCTTTTTGACTGCTTGCATCTGGGTCACGAACGAAACCGTAACATCACCCCCGTGTGATTGTTCAGTAATTGATGGTCCACTGCTGAAATGGAACGTGGAGACGCGGCTGTATGTGAACCAGAGGGGTAGTAATTACCTGGCTCAGCACAACCATTGTGCCCAGTAGATGTTATTGGTTTTTCACCTTTTATTTGTTCAAACAGAGAAGAGTTCTCAATAAAGCCATATTCAGTGGTGCACATCATCAATAGAGAAATTATTGTAATGGTTGAATTCAGCTTGTGCCTCCTGTATCACATCTTTACTTCCTGGTAATCTTATTACTGTAGTTCAAGAAACTGAATATATCTGAGGGAGAATTCACAATACTGGTAAGAGGTTTTAGTTCAGGAAATCTAGCTGCGGAGCAGGAGATCGACGGGTTCCGCTAAGCTCTGAGTGAGAACACAAACTGCCTGTAAATACTGATTTAATAAAATGATTTGCAAAAAAGGTTTTGTGATGCATGTTCATTACTTTACATTAGAGTGGCAGGAGCTTATGTCCAAAGTAGCATTCAGACTCAAGAGGAACACTGAAAGTAGCTCTAATGAATCACAGTGAGATGTATCCAGAGTAACAGGTCTGTATGGAAATAGTTGTGTACTGTTGAATATTTCAGATGTCATTTTTCAAAAGTTTGAACTCTGCTAATGAAATTCCGTTCACTTCCACCGTATTTGGCCGAAAATCTCAAAACCTGCAAATATAAGACGAAGACTGCATGGTCAGATATGAGAGGTCTGGCTAAACTGACCCTTTACCTTGCTAAAACATGCAAACCCACCAGGACCACGCTATTAAATCACCATAACTTGATAGAAAACACACTAGTTTACATAAAAATAGTTTTTATTTATACAGGTAAACATGAGTTTGCATTGTTGGTCAAGTTGGGGATGCAGCTCAGACATCCGACAGCATAGTTTGGCCTGGGTGACTGACGGGGTCCGACACAGGGGCAAGCAGATGCTAGCTAATGCTGATGACCTGGCTTGTGGGAGACAGTGATTGATTAAGAGGCGGCCATGATGGGGAGTTAGACAGAACGATGTTCAGACGTTTATATTGTTTCTTTGACTGACGCTTCCCACGCAGCAACCGGAGACAGTTCAGGATACCCAAATCTATCAGCACCTGGGGAAAAACAGCAACCTTAAAGTTAATAAGGGCTTTTAGGAATATACCACACTTACACTACCAAAGAGAATGAGGCTCTATATCACTGAGGAACACTGACAACAAGCAGACATTTTGACTTGACTAGCAGGGAAAGGAAAGGTTACTACTAACATTAACAATGGCTCTATTCTAAGTGTCCCAGTAAACCAGTAAGCACGACACCATGACCCTAAAACTAAAGCAGCTAAATGGAATTCAGCCATCATTCATATCATTCAATTTATTTAGGCCTATGAAATCATGCATGTGCTCCTAGTAATAAAGTAAGCACATAGAAACTGGATCAATGCTTTACACACTGCATACTGTGCTTAGTATTATCTCTAGTCTAATTATATGGCAACGTTTTCTTAAGATTTTAAAGAAGAATGTTTAATGAAACAACATTTTAAAAGCAACAGTCTATCATATAAAGAAAGTATGAAATGGCAGCTTCAAAAGGGAAAAAAAATCTGTTCATCTCCACTGGCTCTGAAGCTTTGCTTTAGCACATTTGAATGAATGTTTTATGATAGCAAAATTCTGTGGTTTGCATTAAAAGCAGGGTTTCAGGCTTTTTACATGAACTGAATGAATGAATTTGGTGAATGCTGCAGAGAACGGACACTGACCCTACCTGTTATACATATGTATTGTGTTAGCATGGACCCTGCTGTCACCCACTGCTGAGTATGCTGGTTACACAGATTTGACAGAAAAGGCTCAGCTGCTTAAGGGAGCTCTCAAAGAATCCAGCAGAACTAATCCCCACTAACACAACATAATCTGTAGCCATGTTAGAAAAATAGCACTTAGCATAAATTAACAATAACAACACAAGCTATAGTGCCAGGGTGTATAAAGCAGGATATACAGTAGAACACACGGAGCATGTCACCATTAAAGACCGTAGTAACTGAATGAACGCAAGATGACCAGAGCCACTTTTATCTTCAATGGAGAATACTACAACACTTTATAGCCATTTCCAGCCTGTAAGGGGTCTTCAAAGATAGATTTTGGGTAATGTTAATGTTAAACATCATGAGGAGTCCCAACATGAGTTATATCCACAGACTGTCATGTGTCAGATCTGGTTGGTGTTGGACCTAATGTAGCTATTCTTCGTGTAAATGTACATTAAAGTCTCCTTCCACTCAAAGATATATTTTTTTCTTGTTGCTACAGTTTCACTGTGCAGAATGATGTACGGCAGGGTTTGACACTAGAAGGATGTTTTCACAAAAGCTTCTCTATGTTCACTGAAAATATGTTTTTTAAGGGGCGGGGCCTACACGAATGATTTCTGACAACTAGCTCAAAGTCAATCCTGATCCAGTGTGCGCTTTATACAAGTGTCATATAGAACTTGAAGCCACCAGTGCACATACACTGAGAATGTGGAATTTAGTTAGTAGAAAAAACATCAGACACACATTATTACCAACAGACTACTGTACATATGTCTTAATATCTTTAACAATTGCCCTAAGAGGGAATATTAAAGTCATATCATCACTCACCTCCACAACGAAACAAAGGAGGAAGTTGAGAGCAGCCACAGCGACGAGCAGCATTTTGAAATTCATATCGGAGAAGTCGTACAGTTGAAGGTATTGGCAAACAATAGACCCAGGATACACCATCAGCCACGTCATCATGGCAAAGAGGACACACAGTATACAGAGGAAAATCACTGGGAAGACAAGAAGAACAAAATCAACTGGGTCCTAAACCTTTGATAAGTTTCATATATTAATAAAGCTTTGTCAGCATGGGTTTGAATGCATCAATGTTTCGACCCCAAATCCTCATCCTTGGACATTTCTGATGACTCACCATTGTAGTAGAGCGGTTTCTTGTGAGGGTAGCCTTTGGTGACCACCACAGCCATGATGATGTACTGGAAACCTGACAAGAGAAACACACTGGTGTCCTCCATGTTGGGCAGATTGGATGTTCCATACACGGTGGAATTGAGTGGAATATACCTTAAACAAGGGATGAAGTTGAGATATGAGATATTTGATTTTTTTTTTTGTGAATATAGAAACTAATATTAAGCTATATTTGTTTACTAACCAGTCCTGTGAGGTGGTGATGAAGAGTGCAGACAACTGGCCCAGGATGATCATACAGGTGTTAATGAAGAGGCTGCCCAGCACAGGCAGGGCCAGCAGACTGGCTGAGGGTCTGCGGGGGTGCAGCTCCTCACTGGGGCCTCCTCTCCCCATCACGATGGCCAGCGCAGTTACCACAAAAATGTCACAGACCAGGAACTGCAGGTCCGCCATGGTCGTCTTCACCTGGACACACACATCAAGAAGTCAGATGTTTCACTGCGATTTCTTTGAGCAATGTAGGCGAGAGAAGAAGCGGTAGTCATGACAGCAGATTAGACTGCAACAATTACTGAGGAAGTGATTTAACTTTGTGTGTTCTGTGTTGGCGTTATCACTGCTATAGCTGATATGTAAGTTGGCCAGAGCTATCAGATTGCGGCATGTGGTAATTTTACTGTTTTCCTGCAAGTTGCTTTATCTCTTGTGACTTGTATATTTTATGCACCAATGCACCAAGACAAATTCCTCGTATGTGAAAAAACTTGGCAATAAACCTAATTCTGAACACTGAAAATGTCTATGATTAAGCTACTATGACAGTGTTGTAACCACCACATACACTTATGTGAAGATAAGTATATAGAAGTATATAGCATTTCTTTGTGGTCGCTCTAACCAACAGGAGCTAGCTAACAATGCTAACAATGGATCCTCACTTTGATGCCAGACAACCTAGTTAGCCTGCTAGGTAAGTAGCATGAGCAAGGACTTAAAAGAGTCAGTTTACAGTAATTGTTAACAGCAGCAGTAGTTGGTGGTTGATAATGAGAATAATGCTGACATTGTTGTTGTTGTTCTAGCCAACAGGAGCTAAACTGATGCGAAATCATTCTAAAATAAAATGTGTCATTATGAAAAGAGACATTATGAAATACAAACAGATTTGTGAAAAGGAGTATTCTTTAGTCATAATCATGATATCCAAAAGAATCATGATTATGACTTGAGTTTTATTATTTATTATTATTTATATATATTACACATTTAAAAAATATTTATTTCACAATGTATTTATTTATTTATTTATTCATTCATTTAATATTAAACACTTCCATAACATCTGGCCTAAAAACTGACTGGACAGAAAAAACAAATGAATGGCGGCAATATGTTGATCCACCAGGGATGGAGCAAAGAACAAAAAAAGGGCTATTTTTAAAGCTCTGTACTGCACATGTGCAACTCTCAACAGAGATGAGAAGGAAACAGGATTCTCACTAGCTACTTCTATTATCAACTCCTGAAAAAACAATGTGTTATGATGCATTATTTTAGTTTTTAAATGTAATAATTCGGAGGTAGCATTAATAATTTAAAACTTTGCCACCACTTGTTTGTTGTATGTCTAACATGCTTATAGATGTGATATACATATAAGTCACCATTAAATATACCTCACACTGCATCAAAAAGATGTTAAAACTCGTTTTAAAAAATAAGTCTTTAGAACTGTCTGATGTTTGTTCCAGAGCTGATGATGGAAGTATGTGCGGTACCGATCTGGCAGGAGGTACAGATCTACTGAGAGGCTCCACTGCTACTCACTGTGTAGAGGATGAGGACGGCGCACAACTGAATGAGGCTGTACAGGGCCATGTATTTGAAGAGACTGAAGGAGGTGACCAGAGAGCATCGACCCTCTCTGTGCAGACAAAGAGGAAACATGCGTTATTATTTCTTCTGCGGCAGATACTGAACATTTACTGGTTTGGTTGCTTTTCAAAGACATCCTCTATATTTACCCAACTTTTTTAACTTTTCTCACCTGATGAGCAGCGGCACACAGCTGATGTTGTCAGTCTTGGAAGTGAAAGGTGAAGCGACTGAAGCCTCGGCTTCAGACAAGGAAACCCCGACATCAGCAGCTCTCAGGGCCCCGCAGTCATTGGCCCCGTCCCCGCACATGCCAACCCGGTAGCTGTAGTAATAGAAGAGGGGTTTGACTGATAATGTGTGTCTCTTTTAAAGTCAGGTAGTAGCCAGTGTTGTCCAGTATTGTTCTCCTAATGCTCATTTTATTTCCATTTTAATTTCATTCTGGACTCACTTTAGTTTCTGCAGCTCCTTCACCAGCTGGGTTTTCTGGTCAGGACCCATGCGTGCAAATACTGTGGTTCGCAACAAAACCTGCAGAGACAGCGTGTGAGGAAAAGAGCTCTGCTGGCAAACAATTGATCACATCTTGATTTGACTTCCTACAATCCTAATTTTTGTTATTCAAAGGGAAATGGTGCAGTCTTGAAATACAGTCTCTTAGTCTGATGCCTCTGAAGCAAAATATCATATAATATAATCACTGTGCCTGTTACTACGCCCCTTGTTACTGTATGCATGCATGTGTCATTGCTGCATTAGTGTGGTCCGACAGAATATTCCTGCTGGGATTACATAACATACATCACCTTTGGCAGGTACTCGGGGAAGTGGTCACAGAGGGCAGCATAGGACTTGCCACTAATAGCCAAGTGATAGCCATATCCACCCTGGTACAGGCCCTGAGAGGAGAAAAGAAAACCATCAATAGCAGCAACCAAGATTCATCCAGTCAGTTCATGTTTGCATATAGTGTTAACTTAACCATTAAAAATGCATGTAAAGTAAAGTCTCTCTATCAATGCTGGAAAGATAGTTAGAATTAGCTTCTTGTAACAGAGCTTGAGCTGTATGAGAGCTAATGGGACCCAAAGACCAGGACGAATATTTAGGTTAAATTTCCAGTCAAACTATCTCTGTTGTCTTTGAAGTCCCAGAGCAAGGTTGCTTGGGAAAAGATTCCTACTCAGTCATGACACATGACGAAGGCCATCCCCTTTAATATTCATTACAGAGGAGCACAATCATGGCTACAAGTCAAACTGCCATCAGTAATATCACAGAAATGTCAAAAAAGTTGTGGCACACAGTTCTAAAATATATTGACCCAAGACTGAAACAGACTGAGGAGTGGTGTACTGCAGTGTTGTCTCTGAGCAGGACCAACCTGAGTGATGACTTCTACAGAGCTTTGGGCGTTAGTGGTCCCTCCGTCTTCCAGGGTGAACCTGAGGGTGGGCATGGACTGGGCAGTGTGGGGGGTTGCATTGACGAATATCACCTTCTCATCAGACCCCACCATCCCACAGCTTTTTGCTACATTGACTGCTGTTAAAATGTTGTCTCCTATGGGAAGAGGGACAAGACAAGATTTGAGATAAAGTGAAACACAAAATGTTCTGTTCTTGCTAGAGCTCCAGAAAGAAGCGTGAGAGAGGAGATGTAAAACTATACTGAGATGGTTTTTGGTACTTGAAACCACAAATAAAACACAAAAACTATGGGACATTTAACAATACTAAAAAGGAGGTGCAGTGTTGTTAAGCTGTAGTTAATACAAATCTCTCACCAGTGACCATGACGCTGCGAAGGTTTGCCAGTCTCAGGACGTTAATAACCTTGGCACTCTCTGGCTTCACCAGGTTCTTCATCATCAGCAAGCCCAGGAACTGCATGTCTTTCTCTACCTCCCCTCTGTCAAAGACACACAGTGGCATTAACACTCACTGTTAGCTTGTAGATTGATTTGTAGCATCCATTTCAGTATGGCTGCACTTACTACATGCTTCAGATGTAGGAAAAATATAAAGGAACTTCTGAGCCACAAAGAAGCCAGAAATACTGACTGTGTTCTCACCGTTCAATGCTCCTAAAGTCAGTGCTCCTGTCTAATGGTTTATAGGCGAGTGCAAGAACCCTGAGGCCTTCACTGGAGAAGTTACGCAGCTTGCTGGAGAACTGCTCCGGCACTGTAAACACAAAGCATCCTGTTTAGTTTACATTTAATGTAAAAGATGTAGACACAATGCAAATATATCTTTGACATTGATTTACAGGAACTGGTGTTAAAAATATTTCCATTCCAAATCACTAAAATGCTGTACTGTGGTTATATATTTACAAATTAAAGAAATATTATTATTATTATTATTATTATTATTATTATTATTATTATTATTATTATTATGAATACAGACCAGTTTCTGCTCGGCAGAGGCTAGCTACCATCTCTGGGGATCCTTTGATGAAAGCAAGAGCTGAGTGTCCCCCCCGGGCAACCGTCACCACACTCATCCTCTGCAGGGCCGATGAGAAGGGAAACCTCTGAACAATGGCCACCGCCTCCCTTGTGGACTGAAAGCAGAATGAAAGAACAATAACTCCAGACAGATGTTGACAGAGCAGGTACACAGTAAGAAATGCTTTACCCTCTTTACCCTTCCTCAGCTACATTTAATTCAGTCTGTAAATGTATACATTTACCACAATGTCACACTAAGGTTAAAAAATGTAAAGAGCAATATGTGTGCAATAGTGTTACAGTGGTTAAAGGGATTCAACATTATAACAAATCAGCCCAAATCAGTTTGAGAGGGGATGGTAGGGACACTCACAGGTCCTTGAGCTGAGAGCTGTTGAGTAGGAGGTCTCATAACAGCCAAAACTCTGTGGCCTCCAAACTCCGCATCCAGCACCTTTCCATCTCCCTCCGGCTCCTGGAGTGTCTGGAAAATTAGATACAATTTGAAGATACTGGTTTGAATTAACATGTTATAACAGAAGTTCACAGTAAGATTGAATATTATGATTGGGAGAATGGATTGCCAGAGGTGTATAGAATCAAAGACTGGTTCTTGCGATGTCCCAGTTGTGAACAAAAAGGAAACTTCAAAACTATTATTACTTCCACCATAGAGGTTATGTTTTCGGTGCTGTTTGTTTGTCTGTCAGCAAGTTTACGGAAAAACTACCGGCCCGATTTTCATGAAAATTGGTGGAAGGCAGGGCTCAAAATTTTTACCTAAGTGTCCCGCAACTGTCCCGAATTCTACTTTCAATTGTTCCACGCGACAACCTTTGTCCCAAATTGAAGTCCTTTTTCATTATACATAATAATTAATATAACTAAATAACTCTGTGTCAGTAACTCGCATCACTTCGTTTACTTGCTCTGGTTTGCCATGGAAGTTGTTCCCTGCGATAAAAAATTGAATTTACCCTAGTAGCCCCTTTAGTCATTAGTCGAGTAGTAATGGAAATGTACCTACAAACACGGACATTATTAGTTAACCAAATAAAGACAAACTACATGGGAGGGATGGAGACATCATATATTTGACGGAAAAACATATTTATTTAAATCTACAAAGGTAAGGAGAAGATCAAACTAACTATTTAAATATTTACATGCTCAAATGAAGTATTTACATATAAGCTACAGGAACACACTAATCCAAAGATCCTGTGAGAAAGACTGAGAAAGAAACATCCCCCATACGCCACACCTACTGACTGCCTGCACAGGGTGCAAGAGGAGAGGGAGAGACCCTGGTGCTGTTGGCAGAAGAGCCATGCAGCATACAAAAATGCTAAATTTGACGCTAGTCGGTTTGTTGCTAAGAGGGTCTCAAAAGTTGCTAAGTTAGCACACTATGTTTGATTTTGTGTGTTTAAGCACCCATTTAATTTGAACACTTAACAATTAAAATGATTTATATTCCATAAATGCAATCATTCCATTTGTAATGCTACTTTTATCTACCCCAGGACAATAGGACATCCTTTGAGGGGCCAACACTTAGTTTTCTATCAGTCGTAGTAAAGCAGCTCTTGAAGGGAGTAAAATAAGATTTATAGTGTCATACCCAACCGGTGGATTCGACCATCTTGAGCTCCAGAGGGTCTCCAAGGGGCTCACCTCGCAACAGAGTCACAGTGTGACAGCATGCCAGACCTGAGAGCATGTGCCCTGTGGGCAGGAGTCTGGGCTCTGGGACCAGCTCAGAGAAACCAGAAGGCCCCCCCTCCATCACTCCCCACACATCCAGACCGTCCTCTGTAAGAGTTCCTGTCTGGAGAAACAAAAGTGCACTGATGAAAGGCAACTTCAACATATCAAGTATCTATGACTGCCCTCCACATACACAGAAAACTTCAGTTAATGCATCCCCCCTCACCTTGTCAAAGCAGAAGACTGAGACCTTGCCACTGATGTTGATGCGTGGTGGACTGATGCAGAAAACGCCCTGTTTCTTCAGCCTGTGCTGGGCGTAGATAGTGCCAGTGGTGATGGCAGCAGGCAGGGCAGGGGGCACTGCGATAGTCACAATATCCAGGCTCCTAATCACCAATTCCAGCCAAGTCGCCTGGACACACATCCAGACACGAGTCATGATAGCGCTTTATTTATTGTTGGCAGTTCAAAAACAGACACATTATTTGATCCTTGTGGCTTGCACTTACATTGGATGTGAAGAGGACCACAAAGCTGTAAACAGTGCCAAATAAAGCTGCAGCAAAAAGGAAAAAAGTTTAAATTCTTGTTGAATAATTGATCAAAAAGGCTTGAGATATATAATCGGAGTAACTCAGCTATAGATACAGATAACATTAACTTCTTCATACACCTTTGAAACAAACTGAGTCAAGCTCTTACCAACAAAACTCAGGACAAGCAGGAACTTGGCAGAATCTCGGTAGAAGCGGAAGTTAGTCGGCTGAGGGTACAATATGGAGCTGACCAGGTTACCTTTGGCTGTGAAAAACCCTGAGAATGAGATATTAGAAGGAGAACTGAGACTTGGTGGGCAAATGTAAGCCTGTAAAGGGGCCCTGAGTTCTTATGTTCAGGTGATTATACACAATGAAAGCATATCTGTGAATATTATGTTCCATTTCTGCCAATAGACCGTCCTACCTGTCACAAACTGGACCTTTAACTGCCATCTGACTAAAATGGCTCTGATTCAGATCATTAGTTCTTCTACTCACCGGTACTTGTGACCACAGCAATGGCACCGCTGCCTTCCTGCCCTCCTCCTTTGGCCTGAATGAGCTGGGTACCGCAGAAGAGGGTGTGTCTGCGCTCTGTCTCTGAGCTGTACGTCCTCTCCCCAGCTGGCAGTGGGGTTTTCAGCACTGGGACACTTTCTCCTAAACACAGGAATGATGACAACAGGTTAATACACTGACTGCTCACTGGAAAACAAGCTGGAGGCACAGACTGTGGTAGGAGTTGTACTTAATGACTTCCATTTGCAAATGCTTTTGCCCTGATGACTTGATTAGATTTGATGGATGAAATTGGATTTAAGGAAACACACTAATTAAACTCATGCTAGAACAACATGGAACTAGAAAATGGGAGGCTGAGTATTTTTCTTCCTAGGCTGAAATCTTACTGAAATGCTCGTTTCATCTGTCTGCAGACATCTTGAGAATCACTTTTGACAGCCAATTTGTCACTCCAATCAGCTCCAAGGCTGTGAAATGTGACATGACCCGGGCTTTAAAGACCTTTTTTAATGTAATCCAACATAAAAAGTGAAATCTGCATCAACACGATGCTAATGTTACTCAGTGAGGAAACCCAGTGAGCTCTGAAGGGGTTTCATGGGCCCATTGGTCATAGCATTTCATCAACACTAAGAGGAAATAACTGTACAGTGTAAGTTCTAAAATATGACAAATCTCTGCAGCTACGCTCTGCCTGGTGGTAATGGTGCGGTTGAGGTTTGTTGATCACCTGTGAGCATGCTCTCATT